CGTGGGCGTGGCGGACGTGGGCGTGGCGGACGTGGGCGTGGCGGACGTGGGCGTGGCAGAGGGGGCACCCGACAGTCACACCGTATCCAAAATCAGAATGTAAAAAGAAATGAATCTTTTTTCCTCTTTCTGTGCTGGGGATTGAACACAGGGCCTCACAGGGGCTAAAAAGACTAAGCTATACCCCCAGTCCTGTGGATGGTTATTTTATTTGTTTGTTTCAAAACAGGGTTTCTCTGTGTAGCCCTGGCTGTCCTGGAACTTGCTCTGTAGACCAGGCTGGCCTCGAATTCAGAGATCCTCCTGCATCTGCCTCTGGAGTGCTGGGATTAAAGGCGTACACCACCATTGCCCAGCTCACATTTTTTCTTTTGAAAACAAAAACCTTTTTCATCACTTTTGTGTTTGAGCATCAACGATCCATAGATAAAAGCTTCTTTTGTCTTGGTTCAACACGCAATGCTAAATATCACCTTTCTGCTTTCATGTACGTGATCCTACAAAAGCCAAGCAACAGACTCTTCCCTACATTTTATTTTTAAATGTTTCAAAAATACAGAAGGAAATAAAAGAATCAGTGCCCGTGAGCTGGCGCAGGAGGTAAAGGTGCCAGCCACCAAGCCTCGAGACCTGCATGCTATCCTGGAAACCCATGAGATGCGCAGAGAGAAATGACTCCACAAGTTGTTCTCTGACCGCCAAAAACATGCCAAGACATGCATGTTTGTGCACAGACACACAAAACACACATGCTAAATAAATAAATAAATGGAAGTTTTTAATTAAAAGAATTGTACAAGAGTGATACCCACCAACCAGACTCCACTACTGAATTTTGACCACACTGCCTCCATTTGCCTTTCTCTACCCAGGTCTACCACCTCATCATCTTTTTCTGCACATCTGCTTTCTGGTAGAGCATCCTATACACAACGGGACTCCGTAGGCCTTGGGCACCTTCAGCTCCCTGGAGGATCACATGGAAAGTGGGGTACCCACCTGCACAGGCATGCCCAGCTCCAGTTTCAACCCAAAAATAGGGTCAATGAAGATGGTGACGGCAGGTTCCGCAGGATCCTGGACAAAGTGTTCCAGAACAGCGTCATGCTCCTCTGTCCACTCGGCATCTGCCAGTCCAGTCAACATAGCTCGTGAGAGGAAAAGGGGCTTCTACAGAGAGCAGAGAGACACAGGCCATCAGCGCTGTGAGGATGAGCATTCTCCCCTCCACGATTGCACACCTGACTTGGGAGGGGAGCGGAGATGCCAGAAAGCTGAGAAAGACTGAATGATAGGTTTCAAGCTTTTGAAGGAAGGAGACAATAGACTCCCCTGCCTCCGGGAATGTCACAGGGGAAAGGATGGGCTGTTATCTTCCCCAAACATCTCCCTCTGTCTGTGGCTGGGAAAATGCATTCTCTAGCATTCTCAACTTCGGAGGAAAGATGAATGAAGGGAACAAGGATATCAGCCTGGACCAAAGAATTAGGAGCGAGGAGGTGCCGGTGTGGGGAAAGGACGAGGTTGGCAGCAGTTTCCCCTTCTGGGTGCTGCAGGGTGAGAAACTGACAGTCACTGGGCACAGCAGTCGGGAAGAAAGAGGGGCAGGTGAAAGGAACACAGCGATTAGATGGAAAAGAGACCCAAACTGTGGAGAAGACACGGCACATCTGTAGAACACAAGGTAAAGAAACTGAGCAAAGTGACAACATGGTTCTGAAGACTGGGAACGCCACCCTGTCCTTCCTCCAGAGTCCCTGGAAGATGAGAAAGAATCACAAAGTTCCCCCCAAAAAAGGAGATAATAGACAATTTTCTAGATGCTTTCCTGAACAGGGTGAACCAGTGAGGAAGCCCCAAGCCCAGTAAATACCAGGCCAGAAGACAGACAGGGCACACCAGCTTTCTAAAAATGCAATCATGAAAACATGTCTGTTTTACTTGAAATCAAAGAAAAATAACAAAGACATCATTTATTGTATTTTTTGTTAATATGTACTAAACCGACACTTCTTAGTTTGGATATAGTTTTAGGCTTTTTTGTTTGTTTTTTGGTTATGGTTTTGTGTTTTGTTTTTTGAGACAGGGTTTCACTGAAGCTTTGGAGTCTGTCCTGGAACTCACAGAGATCCACCTGCCTCTACCTCCAGAGTGCTGGGATTAAAGGTGTGTGCCACCACCACCTGGCATAGTTTTAGGCTATTAAGGGCATATTACAATGTGGTTGGGAAAACTTTGTCTTATGTGTTAGAAATATGAGCAATGTTCTTTTCTCTTAGCGTTGCTATGTATTTAATTTCTCATTTTAGTCTATGTGTGTGAGTGTTTTGCCTGCATGTATGTCCGCACACTACTTACATGCCTGGTACTCAAGGAGGTCAGAAGAGGGTGTCAGATCCTCATCAAACAGGAGTGACACGTGGCTGTGAGCCACGATGTGGCTACTGGGAATCAAACCGTGGTGCTCTGGAAGATCAGTCAGTGCTCTGAACCACTGAGTCATCTCTCCAGCCCCACTCCCCCACTCTTAGTATTTTTACTTATTCTTATTAATGTCTGGTAACTCCATGTACAGAGATCTAGCCTGAGGAAACACTGAGCACTGCAAGTGTGGGCTTCCTGGTATTTACCACAGAGTTCTATGAGAATAAAATATTGCAAACAACAAAATGACCAAGAATAACAGTTTAACTTAAGGTACATGTGTCTCACAGGACACACATGGCTACTAACATGATATCTGGGAATAGGACACACATGGCTACTAACATGGTATCTGGGAGACTGAAGCAAGAGAACTGAAAATGGAAGGCTGGGTAAGCTGTGCAGTGGGACCGGCCTCGCCCAAGCACTTGTCACCTTGTCACCCTAGCAGGCGGGGCTCAGCCAAGAAGGCAGCAAGGGTGAGACCAGCTGGAGCTATCCGGGGAGTGTGGGGCTAGCCTAGGCTACAGGCCATTTCAAACAACCAACCACAAAATCTAAAAGCAAGGTACAGTGTTC